TGGGAAAAGTGTCTATTTAGATCTTCTGCCCCTTTTAAATTGGATTTTTTGTTGTTGTTGCTGAGTTGTATGAGTTCTTTATATATATTTGATATTAGCCCCTTATCAGAGATATTGTTTGCAGATACCTTCTTCCATTCAGTTAGTTGCCTTTTTGTTTGGTTAGTAGTTACTTTTGCTGCGCAGAAGCTTTTGAGTTTGATGTAGTTCCATTCCTTAATTTTTGCTTTTACTTTCCTTGCTTTGGGGGTCAAATTCATAAAATCCTGAGACAAGATCTGTAAGTTTAGTACCTATGTTTTCTCCTATGTGTTTTATTGTTTCGGGTCTTATATTTAGGTCTTCGATACTAAATATTAGGATTTTGAGTTAATTTTTGATATGGTGTCAAATAGCAGTCTAGTTTCATTCTTTTGCATGTGGCTCGCTCTACTTTTTAAGTTTTCTCCCCTACTTCTCCCCACGTTAGAATGGAAGCACCTGAGGGCAGGATTTGTTGGGTTCACAGGTGTGGCCCAGGCCCCTGAAACAGTGCCCACCCTTGGCAGGTGCTCTGCGTGGTGTAATAGATGCTAAATAAATTAATTGACATTGAAGCCCCATTGATCGGGGACTAAACAACTATCCTCTGACGTAGTCTGGAAAAGGAACAGGTATGATGTGGGCCGCAGGCTCCACCCCAGCCCCGTCATTCCAGGCTGGCCTACTGGAAGCCTCCAAGCCAGGGACCGCCCACTTCCCCTCCTGCCACCTGCCACTTCCGGTTAGGACTCATCCCAGGCGCTGTTCCTCAAACAGCATTTTTGGGAGGTTTCTGGAAATTTTCAGTTGGCAAAAAGAAGACAAGGGGCAAAGAAAGATGGCACCCGGGAATTCTTAAAACATCATGGAATGGCCGCTTCTGGGTTTTAGGAGGGTCAGGAGTGAGCTCATGGAACCTTCTGGCCCTGTGGAGGTGGGAGGGGCTGGCTCTGTGCTCATGCGTTCTGGTCTTTTCCACTCCCAGCTCCCGAAGCCGGTCTCGTTCTCCTCTCTGAGCAGGTGTTTCCTCCGTTCTCTCAAGGGCAGGCACTCCTTTCTGGTCTCGTGCTGGTCCTTGCCCTTGACTGCACCTCTCTCCTCTGACCTTGGTGCTGTCGGGTGGTGGACGGGCATCTATGTCCCTCCTCTGATGAGGAAGTGCTCTTTGTGTTAAAGGGGGCAACCCCCTCACCCTTCAGCATCCCCTCTGGGGGCCCTATGGTGAGAGAAGGGGGTGCCTTTGAATTTCCAGACGACACCTCATGTTCTGTGGTGTCTCTGACTTTTTCAAGTAAACTAGCAAAGCCGAGGGCAAAATTTGCGTGACCGGAGCATGTCACCGGCCCACGATCCTAGTAAATGTCCTGGCCTTGACTAACCACTCATCAAACGTTGGCTGAACATCTGCGAGGCACCTGCCAGGGGCCAGAGACTGGCCAGGGTGAGTATGGAGACCAGTAGGACGTGTCCCCTTCCTCGAGGGGCTCAAGTGACCACTGCATCAATGACGACCACCGACCACACCAGCTACTGGCATTTCCAGAGTGCACAGATACAAGCTCCCTCTCGGTCACATGATGGGGAGCCAGGCTGGGAGGTGAGGGTAGCATCTTCCGAGTCCGGCACCCCCGGCAGTCGCATGGTCAGAAGGCGGATGGAATGAAGCGTGAGCTCTGCCGGGAGCGAGCAGTTTTGCAGGTGGAGGTTAGGAGGCATTTCTCCCTCAGACGCCCACCTGGACCAGCGGGTGGCTGGAATGAGTGTGGAACCTGGGGCGAATGAACAATGTTCACTTACATGTGGCAATGTTTACCTGCGTCCTCAGACTCGTGGTGGTAACCACAGTCTTGTCTACCGAGGGCCTGGGAGCAGCAGGAGAGGACAAGATGTGACGAGTCCCCAACACTGGCAAGTAGGAGCAGCTGCGAGATCAGGCCTGTGTTCAGTATGGCAGAAACAGGTGACCCCTGGGGCTCTAGTCGCAAGCAGTCCAGGTGGCTGTGATGCAGGTTTTCCAGGGAGGGGTAGACTCTGAAGTCCGAGCGGTGTTTCAGCGAGTTTTTGGACTGATTTGCGTTTTTTTTTCCATCGGTGGGCCAGCGGCGCTTCAAGTGGTCTGCAGAGAATTGGGTACCGGAGATTTTCTTGACCATCCTCAGGAAGGAAGCTCAATGTGCTTTGAGAGCTCAATAAGCTTTGATGAATTCCTATGCCCTTGCTTAGGCTGGTATCTAAAGGTAAACTTCACTGCAGCGGTTAGTCCGAGAAATAAGATGGGGTGATCCGCAGGAGAGGGAATTTTAGGGGTGTCAAGTTTTACGCATGCTCCACATGCAGACTTACAACTATGCCAGCTTTGCAGGTAATTGTACGTGAAAATAATTTTAGAGCTTTGTTCTGGGTTTTTGACAATAAAATAACTGAGTAAAATTTACTTTCCAAGTATTTCCCTGTGGGTAGTTTTCTCCTGAGAGTGATATTATGCAGAGCAAAATTCGCTCTTCGGTGAAAAGGCTTTGGAAGGACATTATGACAAGGGTCATGTAGACCTATGAGATTCACCTGTACAGTATTTCCATTTTTTTTTTTTTTTTTGAAAAAATCCTCTAAGTTTTTCTCCCAGATGGGAAGATAACAAGTATAACGGAAATGCCCAGAAGGTCCTGATTAGGGCAGTTTCTAACCTCAGTGCTACCGCCGT